TCTTATAGATAACTACTTATTAAGTGAATTTGCCGCAGTGTTTGAAAACCATACATCTTGTTTAGTAAAGCTCAAAACTAAATGGTAAATCCGCCGGAAACCCGTAGTCAAATAAGCTTTAGGTACGAAAAGTCTCGAGTTTTCCTTTTCCATGATCTTTGTTCCTTTTTTCAGATTTACACCAACGTTTCAATGCTTTTTTCGCATATTTTTCGTGACAGCAGATGTTTCTTATGTTTTCCTTCGAAATTTCTCTCATGCTTGTCTAAAGACTGCTGGTTTTGTTGAGTGCATGTAACTTATGGCCAGGATTTAAGTGAATGTGACGTGCATAAAACAGTGCGGCCTTCGGTTTAAAATGGGTTGTAAATAACAGAGTTTAAAATGGTCAAAAATAAAATCTTACATTAATTTGGTATACTTTTTCAAGTACAAGATAAAAATCTTTCTTAAAACAAATCAATAATAAAAATAGTGATAAATTAGCCAGCGGTCAAACGTGGCATATTAGTAAATGAATCAATTTTTGCAAGCTGCGCGAAATTTTCAAAATTCTTGCACAAAATTTGGAGGAAAAAATGAGGAAACACAATGTAGCGCAAAATTTCCAAAAAAAGTGAAAAGTTTCCTTTAAATCTTTACTTTTTTAGTAAATGAAACCAAAGGAGGGAGAGGGAATATTTTAAAGTTTGATTTTTCATTTGATCGAAAGAAAAGTTGCATGTTTTAAAACACCGTAACACACTGGCTCGGTTATTTGTTTATGAATCCTCGGCGACAACTTTGCTTGTACAGCCTGAAGGCACAATGTAGGCCACTTTCACAAAGGTTTGACCTCTGCGTCCAATGTGTTCAATACACCAAGTGTACGATTTAAATGTATCAATTTAAATGAAACAATAATTAACTTTTAGAATATTTTTGGTTCACAGCCTTTAAAGAGGAAACAGTGAAATAAAAGTAACGATAAACCCAAATAAATATAAACTGTAATATTTACCTTGGATTGAAATAAAAGTCGTTTCAATTAAAATCTTTCAAACAATGTTTGCAATATATGATCTGTTGTTATTTTTCTGTAGGAAGTCAATGTTATGAAGGCAAACATTGTGGAGAGACTAAAAATGCTCAAGAAATACGTAAGAAATTATGAACTTCAGTTAAAACTTAATCACTGACTTAAAGTTTATTTTAAACTTCGTTTTGAGCTTTCCTTACGTAAAACCAATGAAAGATTGTCTAATTTTTAACATATTTAACGTGAAAATTGATTTAAAACAATATAAATTATACTAAAACTACAAAAAAAAAACAACCTTTTCAGTCACATCTAAAACTATCCTACGAACTAAAGTAAAGAGGGTTAGTGTAAGATCTTGGCACATTTTTGTATGACGACTTCAATTGAAATCGCATTTGGTTTGAAAGTGAGACTCAAATTACCAATAGAGCAGTTTTTAATTGAATGTCGAAAGTGATCCGTGATTGCTCAGGTTTTGCTCTACCCGCTCTATGATTGGTCTAAAAAATTTGCGCCACTCAGATGCCAAGCTAACACCAATCACGAATTGATCGCCCGCGTTTTCCCGCGCTTTAGGTAGTTTGGTTGTTTTTCTTTAAGTTCTGATTGGCTCTTCAAGGTATTTTCCTGTCTTTTGATTGGCCGTTGTGAGTACTTTGGTTTTTGTTTTACAACACTCAAATCAAAAAGCGCTCTGAAACGTTTCTCTAACTGAGATTTTTCTCTTTTTACTTAAGGGAACAAAGAAGCCAACATTCCTGGAGGAAATTCCTGCCGAAGATCCAAACACCAAAACCCTGAATTACATAAAAAAAAATGGTAATCATACATTCCAAGAAGACGGTCAGGTGTACGACTTCGGTCTCGCTAATGGCGGCTACCAGAATGGAACAGTGGTGCGTGGCGAGCAGCAGCACTATGAGAGGGGCCTCAGATCCACCAAACACATCCACGAGACACCTCCTGACGATAAACCCACCGCTGATCCGAGCCATGTGCAGGCGCAGGGAACTCGGAAGAGGAGGCCTAGGAGAAGCGATTTAGGAGGACAATTGGGGGGTGTTAACTACGAAGTGAAAACTCGTCTAAGGACGAGAAAGTCTCAAGCAGGGCTTTAACTGTGAAATCGCTGATCAGTATATATTTAATCTGAAAATGCTATGGATGTATGGTGTATAATTTTTGAGCAGGAACCTCAAGTAAGGACTTAACCTTCTTGAGTGTGTTCTGTTCACTTCAGTGATTTTCAAATTAAGCGAGTTCGTATTTTATTATCCTCGGTTTAGAGGTTAACTGGTTATTTGAACAGTCTGTTATCTGCTTCCAAAAATATAGAGAATATTAGGAGCTGTAATCATTCCATCGTCCAGTTACTTAACTCGAAGATATTTAATAACTGGGATATTTTTTTGGGTGTGTTTTCTTGTCCAATCAAACGCGTTGGATTTTCTAACCAAATCTATTTTCTTCAACGATCATAACTGTTAATGACAAAATATCACTATGCCTAATACAAAAATTGATTTTAAAAATCTACCTGAGTTGTATATTACATGATACATTGAAGGTGTCTCAGTTGACATTCAACTTGTGTGATTGTCTAAAATCAGACAGAGATCATAGGATTAATACTTCTACTTTTACACATTCCAGTAGAGAGTATAATTATGTCACGCCAATCCCTTCTTAATGCAAATTCGCTAGCATTGTATTAGGACAGAATGAGAAGGAAAATTAAGTATTGACACAGGTAACTAAAATGTATAAGCTCTCTATTTGAATATGGTGATGTATATCTATGAAGATAATTATTACAATTTTATTGAAAGATCATTATACTTACTGCAATTGTATCTCGCGATATTCACCATGACTAGTCACGCAATTTTTGTGAAAATGTCACAACGAACATTACTTGTGTCACGCGTGGCACAGAAGACAAGGACTACTTTACTTCAGATATGTCTTAAGAAGTCCGGTGCTCTTCTTAGTTGTCACGCTGACGTTATTCATAAACCTGTCTGATATGATAGTTTGGTTATTTGATGCTTTGAAAAGGTTCTCTGATTCCGACAGGATAGAATTACATTTAACAGAGTTGATAAGCAACGCCACGTTACCTCCACGTAGTGCTGCCCGAAGTTGTCATTTGATCACGAATTCTGCTAAGTCGGTAATCCTGTGAAAAATAAACTGTAATAGTTGCAAAGTTTTGTGATTCTTTTTATTCATCGGGCTGTTATAGTATTCACCTCGCTAGTAAATTGGTTAGCTAGTTGAGTTCGGGAAATGTGCGAGAAATCGGCGACATTTCGATACCTCGGAAATCATTCCTCTATCGGAGCAATTCGCTAAGTACTCGGGTGGAATCGCTTAAGCTGATGTCTGACATGTCTGCGTCAATTTTAATTACAGAATATTTCCAAAGAAGATTGGCACTCTGAAGGTGAGTTACTCTTATTATCTGAGTACTTCTGTGGTCATTTGAACATAAACCCGGGCACAGCTAACACTTTCAATAACTCAAGCACTTCATGACAGTGTAGTTGAGATGTTACGGTGATTTAGCAAGATTATAAAGCGCGAGCTGAAACTTAAAACTACCGAATATTGCTTGTTTGGAAGTCACAGGGAATGCTAAAAGAAAATAGTAGACGTATTGTTTAAGAAAATGTTTTGTGTTAAGACATATAACTTTCAGAACTTTTAACGCAACGGTACGCAATTTTCTGGCGGCGAAGTTTGTTAAAGAACGATCCAAGTTGTGAATATTCTGTTGCGCGGGTTTCGTACTCGCAAGAAATTTCTATGCTTTCTGTTCGTTACAGGAAATTAAGATATTCTTTGCATAAAACTTTGACCCCCAAATATATCTTGGAAGTTTTGGTCTCGCTTTTCATTCAGCGTTTCAAGCAGCAAGAGACAAATTTGCTTATTGGTTAACTGGTGAAATTTGATCCTCAAACTTCACACACGTGCGAAAAAATAAAACTAAGAACAATAGATTTAGCAACTTTTATCTTGATTTCTGAGTAAAATATGGCTTGTGCCTATTCATTTTTTACTTTGAACTGAAAAATTTAAAGCTTGTTTCTGTGAAAAGACGTAAAATAAATATTCACCGGGTTCCCGGTTCTTCTAAATTCCGATTTATGCGAAGGCACGTGTCCACTCAGGAGTTAATAGGTTCAGTCTGATGATATCGTATTAGTTATTCGATAATGCTCAGATCTTGATTCAGAATTAAAAGAAATTCTAAGAGGTTTATAGAAAGTAATGTGGGAAGGTCATGGCTTGAATATATATCAGAGATGATGCCAGAATAATGAGCTGATCTCATAAAATACGACTCGGGTCGTACACGATGCATGTAGTTTAGAAATTGGTTCATGTAATATTTTGGAAAGTTTGCGGAGAGGATAATGGTTGAACCAGAAACTATGCTACAAATTCTTAGATCTTAATATATAAGACACATGCCGGATGTTGCAACTTTAGCTGCTGATTAAAATGCAGTTGAAGTAGATCGTGAAAAAATTAATTATAACAAGTCAGTTCAAAATGAGTGCAAGAAGAAGATTATTCTGAATACGTAGAATATGGAACAACTTCATCAGAGCTTTCAATGCTTCTGCAGAGGAAATAAGACATTATTGTGCGAATAAATGAAAAGTTACAGAACGAGTAAGTACATTCATTAATTCATTCATTCATTCAAAACAACTGACACTTATTTTGTTTTGAATGGACATCTATCTGTCCTGTCTCAATTTGCGCACGTGATACCTTCGATACCTTCGCCAATCATGAGCGAGATTTTGACTTGACTGACATTTGCTTGTCAGTGACTGAGTATAACGGCCACCTTATGAACAGATTCCGCTCAACTATCCTATCAATTGTTGAAGCGGTTAAGGCATCATCTACGAAGAAAGAAATTTCAGTTTGAGACCGCTTTTCAACGGACTGAAACAACAAAATGGACCAGGCTTCTAAAGAAGAACTGAAACACACCAGAAAGAAAGCCGAGCGTTCCTGCACGATCTGCAGCAATCATGGAATCCGATCAATGCTAAAAGGTCACAAACGTCATTGTCCGTTCTTGAACTGTCACTGCGTGCTGTGTGAAAAGGGACGCAAAAAAAGAGGTGTTATGAAAAAGCAAGTTCGACTTCGGCGAAAACAGATGAAAGCCATAGAAAACCATAGAACTCCTTGCCTTTCAACTGCTGTCGAACCAATTCAAGGTACGAGACTAAGCATATGTTGTTTGTCGTTTTACTAAGTGACATTTTTTTCTTTGGTGAAAAACCAAACGTTATCTTGTGTATCTTTATGTCTGGCTGAAGTAGTCGTAGAGTCTCGTTTTCTTAGCTTGGTATTCTTTCAGAGAAACCGTTCATTGACGGAAACGGATGTTATTCAGACGTGCATGGAAAATATTTACGTACTTTGTAGTAGAATTTTTGCAACTTTTTAGTTGTTTTTCTAAGTTGTTTTTCTAGCTTGTTTATTTGAATCTCGGAAAAATGAGAAACTGGTCTTGTTACTTTTTGTTCTTAATGGTTTTATATGATGTAGGAAGTTTCTTTTTGTGCTCTTAAATGTTTTCTTCAGTGTTTTTTATGGATTTCTTGCAAATGAATGAAAGTTTTTGATTAAATTTGCAGTGAGTTTCTCTCCCACGCTCGTGAAAACAGAATCGCCTTTCCATGAAGACCAGAAGACCGTTGACGAAAATGACAAGACGGCAAAAAAAGAAAACGGCGGATTGATTCAGAGCGTGTCCAGAATTTTAAATTCCCAATTCGAGGTCACCAGACAACAGTACCCATTCAACAACAGTGTTTATCTACCTACACCTTACCAGCTCCCATGGAGTGTAGCAGATGTTTACTTGGGTGGTTTCTATCAAAACAGTTGGCTTAGAGCTGAACCTGGGACAGCCTCCTGCTACGTGATGGAACCTCTACCCTGCCCTAATTTTACTGTTTCGGACAACAGTGCCTTTGTGAAGTACAATGTTTCCCCAAGAATAGAGAGCAACTCTTTCAAATTTAGTCTCAATTCATCCGCTGAAGCCGCCGCTGTTTTGGCGTCATTTGCAGGAAATCAGAAGCATGGAAAACCGAAATGTGAAAGAAAATACAATTTTGACCCATGCTTGTCCTAACTGAGTACTTTCGCTGCTTTTGGTTCGTGTTAGCTTTATATCTAATTGGACAAATTTAACCACGGTGTTTTTCAGTTCTAATCGGCGTTTACGGATTTCAATCCCGTTAGATATTGTTTCTAAAGAAAGTTACGTCTTGATATTGAATGTTTGTTGACGAAAAGTTTAATTTTTTAGCTATTCTAAAATATGGTTCTCATGAAATGTGAAATTTGCAGTAGTAGGACTTCAGTTATAACTTCCCCTTAGTTCATTATGTAATGTTAACGGCTTTATACCTTTCAATGGATAATCTAATCTTAATTTGAATATTTTTCTAGTCAATTTATTTTACGCTAATATTCTTACACCTTATGAACTCAGTTACTTTGGATATAAATTTGTAAAACGCGTAGAACTTCTTCTTTACGTTGTTTTTAACATGAATGATGATAAAAAAAACTGTTCCAGTTAGTTCCTTCGCGTATTTAAAAGACTATTTTGACACCCGTTGTTGGAAAATTCATGACAGCTGGGTAACTTAGTGTGGCAGAAGAAGCGTTTTTTGTGGGCTCCTAAAGCCATTTCAAGGTTCCTTTCTCGCCTTCAAGAGATGAGGCGATACAGCGTCAGTAGGGCGTCTGTTACAAGTTTTAGAACGTCTACTGCAATGTGATTTAAGTTGAAGCATTCGAATTAATCTTGAGATTGATGATTTCAATCATTGTTGAAATAATTTTCACGTTTAGGTAGCTGATAGCAAGAAGGAAACGTAAAATATCTGTTAAAACATTTCCTTCGTTTTCGAAGTTATATTTTAAGTATGTGTGTAAACTCTTACCGGGCGGACTGTCGCCTGGAAAAGTGACAAGTGGTCATATATTCTCACGGTCACACAGAAATGGTTTTGTACCTCATTACAGATTTATCTTTTGGGCCTCAAGAAATCACTTCCGTCAAAAGGATTGGTTTGCTTTTTCTGTCTTGTTTTGCACAAAGAGAACATAGGATTTTCTCTTTCCTGTTTGTGCCAAGCGCTATGAACGACGCGAGCTTTGCAGCAATTTTCGGAATCGCTTTTCCAAAAAAGTAATTATGAAAAAAATTATGCGTTCATCAATTTAAAACCCAACCCCGGGGTATAGCGGGGAATTTCAAAGACCATCTTGAGATACGAGGATTTTCCTTTAGCCCTTTAAGTTTAATCCACACTGCTCTCTGCGATATCGAAAGTGCGTGCGTGCTGTGAAACCATTGGTCTGCATCCCGGATGCCCTGATATTTTGTCAATAAATAGCCCATGCACGGGGGCAACGCGCGTTAAATCTCCGACGGCATTTTCAGGGGGTCGAAAGATCGAAGGATTATACAGCATTACCTTAAAAAGCACCATTGAAGCACAGACATTGATTCAGTCGTTCAGTTTCTGCCTTTGCATTTTGTTCACTTCAAGCTTTATGCTGAATTTAATTTAGCAAACAGTTCCGCACCATTGCCACGGCAAATCAAACAAAGATTAATTATATAGATCTTTCGCGTCATGCCTTTGTAACTGCGCAGTAATTTACTTGAGCTGTTATCTCGTGGAAAAGAAGGCAGCTCTTGAATACGTCCAGCCGATGGGTATCCTGCTTTATAAATTATGTCGTAGTTTTTATTCATTGGTAACATGACTTTTTGTCGTCCAATGCGGTCGTAAGATTTTTTTCTATTACTCCTATGGTTAATTAATCAACGAATTCACTCAATTCTTTAACCATATATTATTCATTTGATTAAATTGCTCTACTATAAACGGATTAAAGATCCAAAAACTGTCATCACTCAGATTGACCCGGATTACCGTGCAGTCAGCAATATTTTTTGAATATCAAAAACTAAATGAGCTTTAACATCGTTTAGAATTCTTAAAGTATCACAGTACCTGAAGTGGAAAAAAATTCAGAGGAATACTCTGATTTTTGTGTGAGAAATGAACAGGTGTTGTCGCCGAGTGAAGTAAAAATTATGATGAAATATAATAAGAATAAAAGTTCATAATTACTTTTTTATTGCGCAAATCCTCAAAGTTTTAAGAGCTTTTCCAATAAATGCTAAAAAAAAACTGATCTTAGAAAGGAAACATAGCAGCCGTCTGCGAAAAGTCACAACTAAGAAAGATGACAAAAGTGGCGTTTCATTGAGAACGTTGTTTTTTCATTTTGTTACTTTTGCAAACTGAATGTCTACATTTCAGTTCGATCTGCAACTTTAAACTTTAAACATAATGATGTTTAGAGAATATTCATAAAGCCGAGTAGGGCGAGAGCGGCAAGCAGTAATCACTGTTTGTCCAAAATCAGAGCAAATGTTTTGATTCCTGGTTCAAATAACAGTCTGGTTGAAATTTAAGAACCGCGCAAACGATACGAAGATGAAAACATTTTATTGAACAAATATCTGTCCGGAGGAATCTGTACGAACGTTTCTAATCAGGTTCGGTTCATGAGAGAAGTAAGTGAATTAACAGAAACTGATGATGAGAATTAAATATTGGAGATGTCCATAGACTGAATGATCATTAGAGTTCAAAACATACACAATCAAGATAATGACATCTATAACTGGAATTTTAACATCTCAATTTTTTTCCTTTTTTCATAAAAGAAACTAAAGCACAGATTGAGCTTAGAAATATTTCAGTTGTAGCTCGTGCGAGAAATACGCGGCTACAGAGAATCTAAGATGGGATACACACAATATGCAATCGAACTAATTACACCCAAATTGTTCAACCAGGAATCCAGGAATACAATTCTTGCGTCAAATCCGACGAAACATCTGTTTGATTCTGTGCCTGAAAATAGGCTGTCACAGAAAGGTAAAGGGCTAAGAAACCGGTATATAAAGGAAGGAAGAGTGAACTATAAGTTATGAAAATTTGGTAACTTGAACAGTGTGTAAAGAAGAGAACTAAAACTAGGAGAACAGGAAAGTGAGAGGGAAGATCTTAACAAAGGTTTGGGAAGCTACGGAGTAACAACTTAATGGTTGTGTAAGTAATCTGAGAGAACCTTGTGCGGGGAAGAGAGGTCTATAACTTAAAGCGCTCAATAATCTAAAGAATTGTTGATCCTAACTTTTCTAATGGTGCAAATTTGTCAGAATATGGAAGAGTCAAACTGGCAGTAACAACCTCATGATTCAATCTTCATTCTGGTTTAACCTTTTTTAAACCAATTTGCAAGGATAGTTATGAGAAAATCTTAGCACTTTCAGGTCTCTGAATTATAGTTTGTTTCGACTGAAAGGAAGAAAGAGGTGTTTTTGGGTTCATACGTCTCTATTTTTATGAATTTTAGAAAGGATGTCCAGTGGAAAAAAAATTGCTGGAAATCGGAAATTGTGCGTAGTACAGCTTTCCAAAAAATGTAAATCGTTGTAGTGAATAAACCATCCGCTTAAGCCTTTTATTACTGATACTCAAGACCTAACAAAATCGTTTATTTTTCTAGTTGTCTTTACTTTCTCGTTTATATTTTCTGTATGGTTTTCATTCAATGTAAATTACTGGTTCGATTCATCTTTCAAACGACTGGGACCAGATGAGCAAAAACTAAAAGCTTAAAATTCTAGAAATTCAAAGGAGCGTGTTTTAGATTACTCGCTTTCAGCTCGTGGCCCATAAACTTCTCTCTTGTTTCCCAGCATCGCAAGCAGGAACGTCGTTTAGTGTATGGAATTAAAATCTTGCAAGTTAAAACCTATCATTTGTATTTTAAATTTTTGACACTTACTACTTTTGATCTACAGATCAGCTAGTGATAAAACATGCTCCGTGATGTGCTTGACCTGAGCTGATAAGAGCAGGGGCTTATAGGAAGGTGGATGATATTTCTAGTCCCGAACACACCTAACGGGTAAATGTTCTTTCCTTACCTCTTGCATGAGCTACCCAAAGTTTTTTTTTTTTTAAGTAAAAAAGGAGAAGCTTCTGTTTTTGAAAGATCTTAGGTTTGTTGATTTATTTGGACACTGTGCCATTTTAGTGATAACAAAATTTGTTCAGCTCTCAGTTATTCATCCATGTAGTTTTAAATTGGTCAATCAAAGATATCCGCTAATCGCTCTGGGCACAATCATTGTGCAGAAAAGAGATTTTTGACGAGTTTGGTCAATATGTGATAAATTTTACTTAATAATAATAACAATCATAACCATAATTATAACCACAACAAGATCCAAGTCTAAAACTCATCTAATGATGGCAATATTGGTCAAACCACGGTCGTTCCCGGTCTTATCAGAGCGCGAAGCAAACGGTCAAGAACTAGCGCGGAGCTCGAGAGGCAACAAAATCCATTCTTAAAATGAATGATTATTGTGGTATTTTTCTATTCCAGCTTCCAACAGACTACTTCTTATGGAGGAACCACAACAAGTGTCCAGGCTCTCCTCCATTAATCAATCTTTCAGTCTCCTAAACATGACAGACTTACCTAGCACACCTTGGAGTTTCGTGTTCCCACCAGCAGGTTTCACCACTAAACTAATTACAATTTTACTCCTCACATCAATTGGAATTGTCGGGTTTTTGGGCAACAGTCTTATCTACTACTTTGTGTCGAAAAAGAACCACTCAGTTTCATATCTGCAATTTAATCCATTCGAACGAAATTTAAGGATTTACATTAAGAGTTTAGCTCTTTCAGATCTGTTTTCTTGTGCGATTTCAATACCTTTAGCCTGTATTCAGGTCACATTTTATCCACCTCAACATGCCTGGTCTTGCAAAGTACTTCGATTTTTAAACGTATTGTTTCCATCCATAACATTGAAAAATATAACTGTAATAAGCATAGAGAGATATTTATCAACCCGCGCTATTCCTCGCAGTTTAAGCATCTCTACTGTTCGTAAACTAGTGTCTGCTGCATGGATTCTGGGTTTTATCACGGCATTGATCCCTGCAACAATAATGACTAATGTTAAATATGACCTGAGCGACAAACAATACACAACTATTTGTACGACTGATATCA